CCAAGATCCGCTTCGCACCAGTTGAGATAGATGAAAGCCTTCGCATACTAATACTGGCTGTTCCACCTACCAACTGTCGCCAAGTGGACATTGTCAATCGTTGGGGCTGATCCATTTGATTCCTTTGGGGGCGGGTGGGATAGATGAAGCCCTGCAAGTTCAAATGGTGGAACCACCTAGCACCTCCTGCCTGGCATGGAGCTTTGTTTGATACCCATCCACACGTCCTTAACACAGGGCTTCTCGACCTTACCGAGAGTGACACCTGCCCCCAGCGCCACCCGTCTTCTTGGTTGACGTTGGAAGGGAAGCAAAACAAATCAAATTTTAGCGGTTAAGTGGGAATTTCAACCACTCAACCACAATAAGCAAACAAATGTTTCCCAACAACAACCATGTCTGTGGGGATATGCCGCCCAAAGTTCGCCGCGCAACGTCTTTGGCCACGTTGCATCATGTCCGACATGACGCCCACGGCCAGAAACAAATCCCCTTGCACAATTCCCCTGGGATGGGTATCAGCTTCCTTCTGAATCGTGGCCGCGATTGGTGGTTTGAGGTTAAGATCCGGTTGAATTCTCCAAACCAACCCAAACAACACCAATTTAGGGGTTTGATGGTCCGGCCACCAGCGCAGGCTTGAGATGCGCTTCCCGGAGAAAGCCCACCTTTTGGCCAATGTTGAATGGACGAAATTCGAAATGCGCCCGTTTCATGTATTACCCTCCCACCAATTAACATGGAATCTGACGTTCGGTCCTGGTTTGGACCATTTTCCTTTTAAAGGGACCTCCTGTCAGGTTCCATGTTAATTGGTGGGAGGGTAACCTTTGGTTCTACCGACATCTGGCTTGTCCACCGCACCGAACCCTGCTACCCTGCACTCAACCTGTACTCAGGACCACATAGCGACAGGACGGCTGGTTTGTGTAGCCCTACGGTTAATCTAAAAGCAAGGTGAAACAAGGTGGTAGAACCAGCTAAAGGGAAGACACCTGGTTCAAGACACAAGGTTCATCAATGAAGGATTCCCACTATGCAACCCTCCCCAATCTGCCACCTTTTCACCCGGCGCCAAAGTTCAGCTCACGCCGCGCAGACAGCCTGATATTGCGGATTTTGGATTCTCGGATACGAATGCCGAATTAGGGACAAACCTCCCTATCATCAACGCAGTTTCAGTGGATGTTTTAAGTGGTTAGCCACTCGGGTTATAACTTACAACCCACTAAGGACTGGGTTCACCCCACTTAAAGAGGCTTACAAGTGGGTTATAACTCAGATGACCAACAGCTTACCGACTTGGCGACGAGCACCCAAGTCACCTGTCCCGCACGTCTATCACATGGTCTGTTCTGCCTTGCCATTTTGTGGGGTCCTTGGACAGCCATTGGGCCATTGGGGGCCGGTTCAAAAGGTGAGTTTGAAGTCTGGGCCGGGAGGCCTTACTTCGGTCGTTGCCAAGCTAGTAAGTTGCCGGTAGCACAGCTTATGACCCACTTACAAGTCCCCCAAAGTGGGGTTACCCCCCTGTTGGTGGGTTATAGCCCCAGTGGCCAACCACCTACTTCCCTAACCAATCGAACATCCAAGTAACCATGGCGATTCGCAGATCGCCCACCCCGCTCACCCGGCGCTTACCCGCCTTTGAACCCCAAAACGACCTCCGTTTGGTTTCCCTTCGAAGGCAGGGGGAGGGAAACTAGCTGGGAAATTGGGCTAAGATCCCCACGGTGGCTACTAAGTGGTTGCATATCCCATGAAACTCCGGGGGGGTAGTAGGTAGTGGACACCATCGTGCAAAAAGGCCTTATCAGTATGCTGCTACATTCCTGAAAAACAAGGCACTGCAGAAGAACATTCGCGAGCACAAGTGAAGTGACTGTGTACCAACGTGAGGCATAAAGGTTGGATGTCTATAGGATTGTGCATACATATATATATATATATATATACATGTGTTGCACACATATACAGGTGTGTGTGACAAGGTGTGTGTGTGTATATGTATATTTGTATATATATGCACCAAATACGTGTATATACCTACACAACTATGAGCGTTTATCAAAATGGTGGGCCCTATGTTGGATGGTTTTCGGGAAGCCAACAGGGAAACCAAACGGAACACCTCTATTTTGTTGGGTCTCCCGTCTATTTTGACGCATACCCATTTGAAGGGAGGCCCAAAGGAAAGCAACCATATTAAAAATCGGGGGCCCATGCCTATGTTGTCCTTGTTTGGGGACCCCCGCAAAATGGACTTCGGTTCTCCTTTTAGCTTCCCTGTGAAACCCACCGAAAGAAAGGGGTACCAACTCAAAAAAGCGAGGAGCCGCCCATTTGGGGGTTGATCAAAAGGTTACATGGGATGACCATCGAGGATGGTGCTTCCCAATGGGAAAAGTTAGCTAACTGGGGGCCCATAACTAGGGAATATATTGATCAACCCCCCATTGAATGGTTCATGTCCCTGTTGCAGAGGGAGGGGTCCACATCCATTCACAGGGCCTCTTGCATTTCCGAGGGTCCTGGTTTGGACCATATTTTCCTTTTCAAGGGACACTCGAATGTCAGGTTCCATGCCCCAAAATCGTTGTGTTTCCTTCTGGCTTTCGTTTAGAACCACCGAAAGAAAAAAACAAACAAACAAAAAGTAGCATCAAAAAAGATAAGCCATGCCGCCCATGATTGAAAAACCTTTGCACGAGTGCGGCGTGACGTGCATCCGGCCTTCGGGCAGATCCCGAGTGGGAGCGGTTGGAAGCGCGGCGGGCCTGGAGCTCGAGAGCAAGCGAGATCTCGCCCTAGTCCAAGTGACCCGAGGGATGGAGTCCCGAGATACGGCCGGTTTTGTTGTGTGCAGGGCTGTGGTTGGAATGGAATCCACGAATCTGTGATACAACAGAAAGGGCCTAACCCCAAGGACTATGTTCTTCATATAAAGAGGGATTCCCAAAAGTATCACAGAAATGGGGAGAAACCCCGAGTGATCCCACAACCCTGGTTGTGTGTTGTTGCTTTGCTTCTTGTTTGGGGGAGTGTCAAGTTGGCTCAAGCCAGGGAACAAGTTGGCACAAGCCAGGAAGCAAAGGAGGGAGTGTCAAGAAGCACGGGATCTGATTCAGGGAACAAGGTTCGAGTCAAGAAACACCGTGCAAACTTTAAATTGTTGGAGGGACCCCCGGGTTGTTCCCTTCGAAGAAGCTTGGGGTCATGGGAATGGTCCTGGCGCCGTGGTATGGGTCATGCGTCTGGCCAAAGAACCAAACTCTGCTTTTAAGGGCAACCGTGTTGGGGTAAGGAAACCCAAAGAAAACCACTATTTGGGGAGGACCCCCTAAAAGACACGCCTGCATGTCATAGCTCTGGTTTCAAGAATGGTCAGCAAGTCTCCACGAAGCATAGTTCGCAGGCACCCTGCCGAAACTGAACATACGCTATCCGCTGTCTCTAAGCAAGTCGGAGTCGTCAGTCGAACATGAATTCGGAGCTCGTACTGATGGCCGGTAGATGGGGTTGCCTTTCCAAAAACCCCGGCCCAACACGTCAAGTTCTTCGGGGGTGTCTTTGTTGAGATTACCCTTTTTGCCATACGGAAACCCACCGTTTTGGGGTCCCCGAAAAAAAAATAATAAAAAAAAAATCGAGGTCTGTTTGGGTCCCTAAAATCTTTACTCGGCTGCGAGATGGGGTGTGAGCCGCAAGATTGCAATCTGGAAGATCAAGATTCCGACAGGCGTAGTAGATCGGTTCGGGCATGCGACCAGATGCCAAAGGTGGCGCCAGATGTGCCCAGCACATCTAATGCTACTCAAGGGCTTGAGTAGCACGTAGGCAGCAGTCATGTGGCACCAAAGGGCTGCTTACTTCTCATCTGTCCAACGAAATCACGAATTCCGCCCAGCCAATGGCGCAAAGAGCCCAGCCGACTCGCTGCAAGAAGGTGGCTACATAGGCAGGGCAAACAACCCAGTCCCAAAACCGGCGCAGAAACAGGACGGCAGAGTGCCAAGCACTGGGCTGCTCTGGACTGTAGCAACACCACCCCGAAATGAAGCCTGAACCCATACCAACCCCGAATGCCACCCTGTCGGTAGGTGCCACACGCCGGCTCCTGACTCAAAAATATCCTGTTTCCTGACTCGCGTGTGATGTCTAAGTCTCTACCTCCTCCAATAGTTTCCTGAGTCACACTTTCTGACACGTGAGTCATAACCAAAACCTGGTACTAAAATGGTCGACCCAGAACCATGTAAAGAATCAAGAAGGCGGCCGCAGCTATTTATGGTTGGGATTGTCCCTTACTAACCTTCATCTATCCAGGTTTTGATTGTGGCTCACGTTTTCTTGAGTAGGGAGGATAGGTGTCTCGGCTGATTCCACCCGAGGCAGGGATTCCAACGATTTGTCCGCAGGGTTGCTTTTGAAGGCCCATTATCAGGCATACCCAAATGTGCAAGATTTCTGTGATGGGTTGATGTCTGTCCACCAGCCATTTTTGAGACAAATTTCAAAAACCAAAGGTATCTTGGAGACAACCCCACGTATTTCTTGGGGTCACAAGGAGTCACAAACCGTGCTCCCAGCCCTCAGAGATACACCTAGTGGTTCCGAAATCCCTAGCACGATTTCAAAAATGGCAATCTGGAATTGGTTGTCCAAGGGCACAAACCGTTGACCAATTCTACTTGAGGCATGGTCATTTTGGGGGGGAAGACACATCCAATTCTACACCCTTGAGACATGGTCATGTTTGCCAGGCGGAAGACACAACAATACAAAGGTATCGAAAAACCTTGGCTTGGCTTACTTGGGCTGTTCTCAGATCTGCCACATTTAGTGGGTTAAATCCGGAAACCCAACCACTAAACCCACTAAAAACAACTAAAGACCTAAGTTGAGCCGGACGATTTGACGTTTGAACCACCAAGCAACCTTGGCTAGGTTTACGAAAAGCCACCAAACTGGCTCGCTCACTACGTCTTTGGGCCCCGCGCCTCACGGCCCGGTGTGCCAATGGGCGTGCGGGGCGTGCGGGGCACGCCGGGCGAGAGAGGCGAGGCAGGCCTGTTCAGCGGCCAGCCAAAGGCACTCAAAAACGTGGGCAGAAAAGAAAGTGCTCGGCTTCTGTCTTATCCGACTAGTGAATCAAAATTCGGTGGGGATGTACGTCCAACCACTTTTGAGGTGCTTCCCTTTTAAAAAACCAGCCAGATTTAGAATACCCTAAATTGTAAAAGCAAATAGTCTTGGAGGACACCCCAGTTGAGTGGCTGAACAATGATAAATTTCTATCCAGTGGATTTCAACTACTCTTGCCCATGTACAAAACCCGTGCTGTCCAATAAAAGCAGTAGGGGGTTGATGGATGAATCTGTTCGTCCCCCGCTGGTAACAGCCTTCGCAGTTCGCAAGGGTGTGGGTCGATCCAAATGGGCGGATGCCAATCGACCCTTGCACTCCCTCAGATTCGCATGAAACTTACCCGTACCTGGAAACTTCCTTGATCCAGCGCGGATTCAGCTGCAAAATCTGAGGTGAGCAAAGGACAATACAACTTAGTGGCACCCATAGACACGCAAGCACAACCTGTAAAGAGGAGTTTCTCAAAGTGGGAACCCCTAGAATGGCCTATTGGGTTCCATTCAAAACCAATCAAAAGGACCCCGGCAAAAACATGTCTAGCCAACCAACCCCCCCACCCCCCCACCCCCCACCCCCCACCCCCCCCTGGCAAAAACGAAGAAGAAGCAGCAAAAGCAACGAAGAAGCATCAACCCCCCACCCACCCCGGCACCAAAAACAAAGCGGGCAAAAAACCTTGATGTAACTGGGCTGCCCTCAGATCCCCCGCTAAAAGCGGCTAACTTTTAGTGGGTTAAATTCGGAAACCCAACCACTAAACACGAAAAAAGCTCAGTTGAACCGGATGATTTGCCGGTTGAGCCACCAAGCATTCTTGGCTAGGTTTACGAAAAGCCACCAAATTGGCTCTCTCCTGCTGAGGAACCCGATGGCTGGTTCAGCCACCAAGGTAAACCAGCCCTTCCCCAAGAACCCCCGGCGCCCATTCCGAGACACGCCCTGCGAACGGAGAAACCCAGAAGCCGCGCGCCTGCCGGCCTCGGCGGAAGAAGCCTCCGCAATTGGAGGTAGCTGGTGGTTTGAGACTCCACCAAAACAGGGCTCCCTCACAAAAAAGGCCCAAAAAAAAAGGCACCCCCTCCCCTCCCCCCCAAAAAAAAACGAACAAGGTTCAAAAATATATGGTTCCAAAAGATTGCAAGGGAAGAAAGGGCATTTGTATACCTTGCTAGACGTGGGTGGAGTATGTCTGCTCAAAAACGAACATCTGTATATATATATATATGTTATAATGTGTGTATGTACGTATATCATTGCTGTCGATCCTCTCCCAAAACGGCCGACATGGTCCAAACAAAAGCAAAGACAAATGAGATCAACGGTATCAAAGCGAAGAGAGATGGACAGATTCTGAATAGGCAATGAGGTGTCTGTCCAGAGAAAGGCTTACGATTCGGACTTTGGTGGAAGGCGTGAGGCCCTTCCAACAGCTGACCTTCACCCAAATGGCAAACATTGTCACAGTTGCCTCTCCAAAATCTGAGCGTGCTCACAGAAACAAGTAAGAAATGGGTTCAGAAAGGGTGCTGCGCGTGGCAGAAACGAAAGCAGCAAGCAACCGGGAATCCAGCTCAGAAACTTGCCAGGGGAAATGAATTGCGCCCCCAAACCTACTCCAAGGCCACGTGGGGCCGGCTGTTTTTACAATGCTGAGTCTTTCAACAAATCATCAAGCAGCCACGAATCACTGGAATGCCCGCTTGGGCACGATATTGACCAGGACTCTGTCAAACAGGTGGTCTTAGCTTCCGCTATCCTGTCAGGAAACTGGCGTGATTGCTTCGATAGGGAGCATTGAAGAGACAAAAAATCTAAGCGCTAAACATCCGGCCCTTTCTCCTTTTTCGCATAGAGGGCTGTCAAAGCCAGAGACCTGTTGGTATCTTTGAAAGAAACCGACCGGAAACCAGCCATCCGGAGAGGTCTGTTTACTGTCAAACATTGCACGCGTGCGCCTTGGGTTTCGACACACAGCGAGGGGAAGCATCTGGGAAAAAAGTGTGCCTCGCAGCCAAACCACAAATGAATGGAAAGGCCCACTGACCAGAACCCCGAACAACAAGAACAGAAGCTGCATTGCAATCAAGGAGAACACACGAAAACTGCCCACCTAAAAATGAATATAACCAACAAGAAACGCAAAAACACCGCACACAATCCAAGACAAGTGCAGCTGCATTGCCCAGGTTCGCATCTGCCATTCCCCCCACCCGCCTGGGCAAAGCCCACGCCGAACTGGCGGAGAGAAAGGCGGGAGGCTTTTGTGGGTGGAAAAAAGCACGGGTAATGTGCCAACCTTTCCAGGGGAAGCTTCCAGCCATTCTGAACCCAGGCAGGAAACCCTCAAAATTTGAGAGGAAACAGCCGGCGTTTGAAAAGAACAACGATTGAAAAGAAGGGAATCAACTCCTAGAACCATGGGCATCCGCTCTCGCAAATAGTACCACAAAACCCGCCCCGTCCCATGCCCTTCTGTGAAAAGAAAAACAGCTGTTGCGTCGCTGACTCTGCCGAAGTGACGCACACTTCTCCGCAACCATGAGCCATGCCCGACGACATCCCTGCGAAACTAACAGGCCCTTGAAATCGTGACGGTTCGCATTGCCAAACCACATGCTCGGCTTCCACAAATCAGCAGATTGAAGGGGAGACTCCACCACGCACACAGAGGCAAACTCAAACCCTGCCGAGCCGGTCGCCCCGTTTCAAGAAGGTTGAAATAGAATCCTGTGACTGTCCCAAAGCCCCTTTCCCAAGGGCAAACACAGTCATGCATACCCGTTTACTTTGCAATTTACGCCTCTCCAAATTAAGATGAAACCCAATAAATTACACCAGCGTAGACCCCAAATTGCCAAAAACAGGCGGAGGATTGCACGCCAGCTCCTCTAACAGCACCCCCGGATGCCCGCACTCCTCCAACAGCACCCAAAGCTGCATGCCCCCAAGCACCCTGCCATCAATCTTACAAAAAACGCCCCGCCCCCAAACAGCACCTGCACCAGCACCCCAAACTGCATGCCCAAAGCACCCGGTCAATCTTGACAAAACTGTGCCCGCACCGTCACCTGCAAACAGCACACCCTAACAACATCTGCACCACCAACTGCACGCCCCCTAGCACCCAGCCGTCAATCTCGCAAATCACTTTCCCCTCTTTATTAGAAGCTAGAACCCCTATGGCCTTCAGCTATCTGGGGAATATAAAACAAGACCGTATGGCTGGCATTGATAATTTGTTGGTGTCTTGTCTTTGGGGACCCCCCTTTTTACTGATTTTAACTATTGATTTTAAAGGCAAACAAAAAGGAAACAAACCATTTTGTAGGGGTCCAATTCCTATTGTAAGATCCGCCCAAAGGGGGATGTTTGTTTTTGGTATTTATGTTCATTTGCAGTCGGACTGAATCTTCGGCACAGCCACTGGCTTTGGACTGTCCATTCTGGACCCCTGACAAACAAGGCAAGGCCGGATGGACGAAATCCACTTCGCACGACCGTTCAGAAACCCTGGAATGATTCGATTTCCCCCGTAAAAATACCAACAAACCGTGGTTTCTCCTCGTTTCAAAAGTGGTGCGAACGGATTCTGTCTATCCACAGTATAAAGGGCAAAAGGTGGGAAAATAACCCCAATATCCTTAACAGACCTAGAACCTGGCCCATAATTGGCCTTCCGACCCGGAAAAACATTGAATATGCTGCCAAAGTTGAGGAATCACCAGGTTGCTTCCTTTTTGGTCACCCTCTGGGATGGTAACCTGTTTTGAGACCCGTTGAACAAATGATGAAAAGAAACTGTGGCGAACTGCCTGTTGGTTCCAAAAATTATTCCTCGCGCGAAAAACACCCGCAACAGGAGAAAACGGCGGTTGTTGCAAAGAATGCACGAAAAACATGGTTGGAATCTTGAAAGGGCATAAAAACAGCTGGTCTGAATTCAAAACACCGGTTCCTTGCAAGGGAATGGGAAAAGGAATACATAAATCCCCTTTTACCCAGGGATGGGACCCGTTTACAGAGCTAACTTCACCCCTCGCGCCTCCTCTTCTTGGGGCATCTCGCCCGGCTCCCAAACCTCCAACTCCTGACAGGTTTGCCATGGTGCCAGCAAGCGGAATCCGGAATGACCCCGCTTTAGACCTTCCTGCTTGGTGGACGCCGGAAGGGGAGCAACAAATCTCGATGTTTAGCAGTTCAGTGGTTGGATTTTAACCACTAAACCACAAGAAGCAAAAATGCAAAATGTCAACCCCAACAACCAGGCCTATTTGAGAGAACCCCTAGGTTCATTGCCAACATCCTGGGACATTCCCTGAGACAAGCCCTCGAAATGGGCGAGCATGTCTTGCTAACGGCCTTGAAGCGGGGGGCACCAGACGCGAGCGCCCCGATGGATATGGTCATGGGTCAAAATCCAAATCGCACCTTCAGTGAACATCCGATTCAATCCAACCACTAAAAAATACGACAATGGGTGGTGCACCGAAAACCTCAAAATGGGATCCCATTGGTTTTGACACACAGCCATATGACTATGAAGGGGCCCCTCCTTTCCTGGGCCCAATTTTTCGCGCAAGGGAAGTTCTCCAGAAAGTGGCATGCAAACTCAACTTACTCGTGTGGCCAGTGGGATACATCTTAGTGGTTCAGCAATCCCTTGCTTCACTGTGGTTCGTTAAGTGGTTCTTGTAGTTCGTTAGTCTTAGTGGTTCGTTAATCTTCGTTGCTTAAAAGTCAAACTGTTAGTGGGACATGTCATCCTTCAAACTCTTAAGCAAAAATCGAAAAGTGAGCCCTTTAATTAAAAAAAGAAGAAACAAAGAAAAAAACAGGAAAACCAAAAGAAGAAAAACAACTATCAGTATCAGGAGTCGCTCGGCAAGGCGCTTGCTCCGAAGAACAACAACAACAACAACAACAACAACAACAACAACAACAACAACAACAACAACAACAACAACAACAACAACAACAACAACAACAACAACAACAACAACAACAACAACAACAACAACAACAACAACAACAACAACAACAACAACAACAACAACAACAACAACAACAACAACAACAACAACAACAACAACAACAACAACAACAACAACAACAACAACAACAACAACAACAACAACAACAACAACAACAACAACAACAACAACAACAACAACAACAACAACAACAACAACAACAACAACAACAACAACAACAACAACAACAACAACAACAACAACAACAACAACAACAAAATGTGTTGCAGCCCTCCAAAGATCCCCAGTCAGAGAGGGGGTGAGTCAGCTTGTTTCGGAAGCATGGATTTGATTTGCTCGCATAGGGAACCTTTTGGAAAAATACATGGGTTTCCCTGGCAAATGGAATAAGACCAAAAAGGGCACCTGTATTTCGCCACCAGAATTCCAAAGCCCGAAATATGCTTCTTGGATCCTTGGAACGTTTCTTGGACCTGCATCATGTCGCTTGAACCCCCGAAAAAACGGCGAGCTCACAACCAACAAAAAAGGGCAGATGGGCCTAAACCTTTTAGCTTCGGATTGCTGCGCAAAGAACTGCAAAAGTGCACCAGCAAACCAGCCAGCTGGCAAAAAGCTAGCCTCTGTCCTGCAATAATTCAAGCGGGCAGTGATAATCAAGATGATGGTTGAAATGTGGGCGCAAGACAAGCCCCTGAGAATATCAAAACAACTCAGTTTCTGACCCTGAGTAGCTTGGCATCCTCAAAATGCACCTCGACCAGTCTCTGGCCTTGAGTCCGCGTCAACCCTCGGGTTTCGGGCTTCGCTTCTCGCCTGGGGTCGGATGGCGCTCGCCCACCCAGGGCGACCTGCAAGCTTTGGCCTGACGTGGCTTGATGCAAAACGAAGGGAGAGAACCCCTTTTCTTGCTTTTCGGACGCAAAGTCTTGGGTGAGCTTTTCCGCCACCACACCTCCCCCCAACCCAACCCACACGAAACCCGAAATCCGAACAATCCCGGGCCTCCCGAAGCCGGGCCGCTTCCTCGGAGAGCACCTGGCGCTCGAACTGCAGCTGGTCCAGCTCCTCCTGCCGCGGTCTTTGACGTGAGTCACTCGCTCGCTCGCTTGCAATCAAAACCCATCGGACGGCTGCCTGAGCGGCCAGTTCGGACGGCATGAAACTATCAAAGGAAAATGAGTCACTTAGTCACTTGCTCAAAACCGATCGGTACTAAAATGGTCGTAATCCCAGAACCATGCTTCAAGAATTAAGAAGGATATCCGCAGCTATGTATGCCAGCGGGGATTGTCCCTAACCTTCCTCTACCCGGATGTTGAGCAAGTGGCTCTTGTGGGTTCTCAGAAAAAATGACCGAGTCGGGGTGTTGGGAACTTAGAGGTTAGCAAGCAAGTAGGCAATAACCTGTAAGATATAACCCACGTACCATGGTCTTATTTCTGGGGGGATCCTTTTTTGGTTTCCCTTCAAAATCAACCAAAAGCTTGATAACCCCCAAGAAAAGCGGAGCCGGAGAAAAAAAAGGACTGTGCGATAGGTCGGGAACTACGCTTTGTGGGAATGAACCTAGCCTCCATTTGCGAATACGTCCCCTGGACAAAATGAGAAACTCTTTCCAGTGACGCGTCCCCTTCAAAACCAACAGGGAAAAAGGAAAAAAACGTCTTAGGCAAATGGAAGCTAGGGATTCCCTTCAAGGAACCCCTGGATGATTTGCAGGGCGCAGGCCTCAAAAACCTGGGCTCTGTTTTCTGGATTTTTCAAGTCAGACTTCCCGGCGGCCTTCGCTGAACACAGCTGGCCTTGATGTGCCATGCCAATTTTTCGGCCGGGCTGTCCGGTTTTTTCAGGCCTAAGGAACCGGATGGCTAAAAGAAGCCATGGTGAACCTCACCTTGAGCCGCGAAGTGTGTGATGTTCAATATAACATTTTAACATGCAATTTGTAAAAATCCGGAAGATATGAAAAAAAAACATTTGGGAGAACAACATTTCTAATTATTCAAAGGGTTGCAATATAGGGACTCTTCTCCGAAGTCACTGGAGTTCCCCAAAGCAAAAGTTGGATCAATTCACCGGCAGGCTCCGCTGACATCGCCGCTTTTGGGACCTCCAAAAAGGGAAATGGCTCCGAAGCCCTGCTTGCTGTTGTGACACGTTTTCTGGTGTCTGTCTTTGGGGTCAAGGCCCACGTCCAGCACTGGTTTGAAAGTTCTCCCCCTAAGGTCCACGCCCATTAATTACTCGATTGAAATTGTAGAAATCAATTTAGAGGCGAGCTGTTTTAAAAAAACATGACAGCACACTGTGTTTGATGGTTTCTTGACGATCTGTGATACACGAAGGATAATTACCAAAATGATCCATAGTCTACAAGAAAGCCACAGCCCACAGTTTTGGTTGGAGTCCCCTATTTGGGGACATTCCCTTTTCAAAAAATCCTCCCGCACGAATCCCTGATTAATGGGGTTATCTCATCATCAACTATTATACTCAATTCTGCGAGATCCGAGCAGGGAAAATATCACGCGAGAGGGCAGAAACGTCACCGGTATTTGACCAAATAAAAGCAACCCAGCACATCACCGATGAATCGCCTTGACCAGGCCAAAGTTCGAGCAGCGTTGCTCTTCTTTTCCGAATCCGTAAGCTCATCGTGGCAGGGCCGGACCCCTTTGAAACTTTGATGGGTTCTATAGGAACGTGGACAGGAGGGCAGTGGGACATGGCCTGAACCCCTCCAACCTCTTTGTCAAATATCGAGCGTAAGGATGTGGCAGTCCTTTGCTTGCGGCGTGGCTTCCAGGGGCCACATGTTAGCAGTGATAGATCTTTAAAAACCAACAGGAAATGTGTTTTAACACAAAGCAGCAAGTGGAAGATGCTCGTGGAGAGGCTAAACGCCACGGGAACGCAACAAACAACAGCTTGCCTTGAACAAAAAAGAAGAAACCCTACTTTGGTGGGGCTCCGTGGTAAACGCCACTGAAAAGAGAAAAAAACAAACTCCGACGCGCCGCCACAACCAAAGGACTCACCGAGAAAAGGGGCGCCCAAAGCTGGCGCCCTGCTGGCTCCGCCTGCTGCAGCTGGATGACCCGGCGCTGCTCCAAGAGTCGAGCCGCCAGCACCTCGTCCACCTAAGCCCCGCTTCGAAGCGGACGCCCGGTGGCCCCGCTGGCCCCGTGCGCAAAAAGGGAGGCGCGTTCTTTTCTGGAGGAGTCGAATCCCCCCTGCTGGTTGGCGCAGGGAACCTGAAAACAACCCAAAAAGCTGAAAGGGTCCATTTTTAAGATACCGCGTGGGTGGTTTTAGGTGGGTTTGTTGCCTTGCTGGTGCGATAGGGTAGGGAACGACGGGCTTTGGGAATGGAGCGGAAGGGATTCCCGAAAAGGAAACCATAGGGGATGGTTTATAGGTTTGTATAGGTCATTCCATTTCTCATTCCCTGCTGAGAACCACCAGTTGATTGCCAGGGATTCCCCTGCCAGTTGGTGTAGGGCACGATTGGAACGGGAGCAAGTCCTTTTTAGGAAACCATGCTCGCAGATGAATGGAAACCCCGAACTCACAGCCCTTTTAGCGGGGATTCACTTTTGGGATGGGAACAAATGCCTATGAACAAGGCGCTTTTTTTTTTTCTGGGGTCAACAGTATGGGGCTCCGATTCGTCGCTTTTCGGGGGCAAAAGCTGGAAGTCTTTGTGGGGGTACTCTACCCTTTGCAGGTTTAATAAGGCCTAATCCATTGGAATTAGTACTTAAAAACCAGATTTAAGCACCGATGGGCATCTGCTTAGCCACCACATGCTCATATTCGCAAACCCTCAAAAGGCTGTGGTTTCATTTTGCTTCGTTTAAACTCGTCCCAAAGAGAAGAACATGTCCGGTCTTGACACGCCATCGGTGCCAAAACATCTACCAGCCATGACTCATGGCCTGACCAGCAAGTCGAACATCTTCAAACCACCTGAAGCAAACCTCCACCGATTCACTCGCCGCTTCTTGCCAGGTTGTAGAACAAAGTTAGCCAGAGACAAGTAAACAGCCACAAAGGTTTGAAAGGCAAAGATAATTACCAAAAAAAAAACTGGGATTGGGTGCTTTCGTTTGCTGGTTGATTTGTTGTTCTTTGCTTTTTACTAAGGAATCGTGCATGTTTTATTCTTCCCCCTGCTCTTCCCCCATCCTTGTTCTTGCTTTTTAGTTGTTTTGCGCTTGGAATGAAACAACTAAACAAAACAATGATGCTCCACACTTCAGCGGTCCTCTACGCATGCAGATGGCGCTTGTTTCGGGTTATCATGCCCATCCCAAGGAGGCATGAAGCCCAAGACGGGCCCCGATTGCCAGGGTTCGTTTGCCCCAAACACTATGAACCCACTTGGACAGGGCTGTGGGAAATGGAATCCACTTCTGATACAACAAAAAGGGTTTGCCGAAGACGAATCCTCCATATGAGGAGGGAGATTTCCTTGTATCACAGAAGTGGTTGGGTAAACCCCAAGATCCCACTGCACTTGGATGTTCGATTCGCCAGGGTAGTATGCGGCCAGCCGCTGGGTTGCAACCAACTAACAGAGGTAACCCAGTGAGGCGCCAGCACACTTGTCCCTGAGGGACCCGGCAGACTTAAACCCCGGGGCGGATCTTCGCTGTTGGATCAGGTTTCTAGGTTTTTTGTCGGGTTGTTTGGTTCATGTGTCATAGAAAAATGCAAAAAGCAGTCAAAAGCAGTCCGTTTTTCCAAGCCCACAAGGGTTGGACAGTGAAGGGGGACTTCTGCTTGGGTGTTCGATTCGCCGAGGCTAGCTAGCCCATGTCATCAAAGACAATCCGACGCAGTCTGCCGGGTCATGACCAAGCAACCCGGCTCTGAGGGCCTGGCGAGGCCCGCCTGCTGCACCGCCTGCCAGAAGAAAAAAAGAGATAAAATTGGACCGCCGGGGTGCCCCCCCCAAAAAAAAACAAACACTAAAACTTAAAAATGGGCGATTGCCGCAAGAATATGGTTGTTGAGTTCCCTTTTTTATCGGTAGCTTGAGGGTGGGAGGAGAATTCACCCTCAACTACCCGTAAAAATGTGGCAGTTTATTAATGACCGGGGGGGGGGGGGGGTTGGGCCCTCCAAAAGTGAGGATCCCCACTAAACCCAGGGACACCCCCCCTAATAGACTGGGGTTGGCTAATATGGGGCCAACGTATGAGAAACCTTGGAAATACCAAATACCAACAAACCATGGTTTCAACAATGCTCCTTATATGTGGCTCCAGTGTCTTTTTTGGAATCACGAATTTGTTGAAATCACGCCTGGAAAATCCCGGTGATGTTGTTTGGAAACTGCGCCTGGGGGTTCCCGGTGTTTTCTATTTTGACCTCACGCCGGGAAAATCCCGGTGCATGTCTTTGTTGAGCCCCAAGGCGTGAACTCAAAATAAAACCAACAAAAACCAGGCATGAACGCACAAAAAACAATAAAATAACAAGCACCAGGACCCCCAGGCGTGATTTAAACAAAAAACAAAAGAGAGAGAGAAACACCGGGACCCCCCCAGACGTAATTACTAAAAAAAAAAAAACGGGACCCCCAGGGGGGGATTTCAATGAACAAAACACCTGGACCCCCCAGGCGTGGATTTCTAAAAAAAAACACGGGACCCGGCGTGATTTCAAAATATGTGATTCCAAAAAGAAAATCACTGGAACCGGCTGGATTTCAAAAAAGAACAGGACCCCCCAGGCGTGATTTCAAGAAACACACTGGGAACGAGGTGTTTTTTTTCTTTGGAATCACCAGTCGCTCGCTCACTTGCTTGCTCGCTTCGTCTGTGAAAAACACTCCAAAATGAGAATCCAAAACGAGGAATTTTAAAATAAACACGGCTGGTGTAACTTCAACAAGAAAACAAACGGTTCCCTTATATGTCCCCCTGCTGATGGGCTGGAGCTTTTCCGCTATCTTTTGCGCCACTGCGGACCGAGCGTCGCAGTCCAGGATCATGTCAAAGTGTTTGACCGCCTTCAGCACCCAACTCAACTTTGCCAGCGGCGCGATCCACGAAGTGTGCAAGCAGCCGAGCACCGAGTTCTGCAAACCAAGTCTTCGGAGTTTCGCTGCTCCGACTTGGACTTGCCGTCTTTGGCCAGGAAAGCGCTCCAAGGCAGAAATCGGCTCGCCCAAGGTGGCAAAAGTGCTGCCCAGGTTGATTTTGCGACACCACCATCGACCCGTCTAATGGCAGGAGTTGATGTTGTTTGCCACTGCGTTTCACATGGCCACGGACAGTTACAAAAACCACGCCGACCACCGATCAGCACCAGCTTGGTAGGTGGTTTTATCAACTAAAGTGAAAACCTTCTGGGGATCCTTGACTTTTTGGGTTGGTGAATTTACTCATCCAGATTGCAAATGTTACTATAATTCCCAAAGGTGCATGAAGGGATTTCCCAAGAAAAGGACCCTTTTTCATGGTGAGCTCGTTACAACCCCCAGCTGGGCTCGCTGTAAGATAGGCAGAATATTGCAGTGCAGGGTTTCTTGGTATAGGCAATCCCCGTCAAATGGGACCTGACTTTGTCCACGAGCGGCTCAAGAATCTGCGCCCGGCGAATAAGCATTGCGCATGTGATCACCGTGAGCCGGATCTCAGTACCACTATAGTGGGTAGCTAGCCATTTTCCTTTTACTCTTTAAGGGGTGGTTCCCTTGGCCACCTACCATAGTGGTAAGTATTGTAAAGGGCGCAGGGTCTGCAGAAAGATGGTGTCCCACAGGTGCGTGAAGTGTGAAAGGAAACATGGGGTCTCTGGAGCAAGGGGGGCAAAGCGGTTGATGTTGGATAATGTTGCGGGTCATATTCGTACCGAGTGTTGCGGGGGATCTGGACAAATCGGGAAGGTACTTACCTTCGTGGTGAACACTGGGAATCTGGATAACGACGGGATATGCGGCGCCCGGCACAAACAAGAAGCGGTTTCCCAAAATTGGCGAACCCCTGTGAAAATCGCCAAATGGTGCCCGTTGTCGGTGGAAGCTTGGCCGTGGTTCACATGAGTCCGGCCATGACTCGGATGGTTTTCTGTAAGGAAACCACCAAATCCCCGCCCTGCGCGACTGACTCTGGCCCTAGGTTGCTTGCACAATCAAAGATCCTGGTCACCACCACCGAACCGAAGCCTCCCCCAGAGGTCTAATGGGATGTACATCCATTGTGTGGCCACTGGATAAAAGGGTACATCCCCGGTCTTCCTGTGCGAGGTGGTTTCGGGGTAGAACCCATCTCAGGGAAGAATGAAACACCCTCCAGGACTGCGTCTATGTTCAACCAAACTGAACCCAGAAAGAGTATCTAGGTGTACAGGCTTATAGACCTCCAATATGAGCTTAGACACAAGTGGTATACAACTTCCGTACCTCCAGAACGATCCGAGGACCATCTTGGCCACGTCCGGTTTTGGCAGGTTCATTGAAGTGCCATGGACTCTCTGAGGTTGCGCAGCCTCAAAGCCGAAAAACAAGGCAACCGGCGTTAAAAACGTGCTGGTCTAACGGCGCCGTTGGCAAAAATAAGACAAACCAGACAATGGTTGCAAAATACTCTCAGTGTCCGCCAGACCCTGCCCATAGACCCTGTACATCCCATGTTTCCGAGCCCCAAAGCGCCCCCTTTCTTTCGCGCCTTGAGCTCGAGGTTCGCCTCCATCAGTTCCAGGCACTGCGCCAAACGCCGCTCCACCAGGGACAGCTTGTAGCAGCCCTGATGGGAACACCACCACACACAGACACACACGCCCACACACACACACACACACACGCCCGCACACACCACACACACACACACACCCACGCACACACTACATTGCCGGGGAATAAACCTATGGTTTCAACACCGATGGTTCAAACCACCTTCCTTGGGTGCCCTGAAACCCAGCGTCTGGCTCCTGGCTTGGCAGTTTTGCCCAATGCTGCCGAGCGCGGAACTGCTCGGGTCGGAAGTTTAGAAACCCCTGTTTTGGAACTGGGCATGAATTTTGATTACCCTTTGGTGGACATGAATTACTGGGCTGTCCAACTGAGACTCGAACGAACTTTTAGTGGGACAACTGCGTTCAACTTTTCGTGGGTTAGATTCGGGAAAACCCAACCACTAACCCAACCAAACCGCCAGAAAACCAAGTTGCACCGAACGATTCACTGGTTGAACGAACCGCCAGCTCCACGCCTGAAAAAAAAAAAAAAAAACAGCACTCCGGCTGGTTCCTTCCACGCGCCGCAAAGCACACGCCCATTTGTGTGTGCCAGAACTGCTTTTCCTTGTTTGCATGGTTGTGAAAGAAAGGCAACAAGGAAACACTGTGGATGGTGTCGAAATCCGAGGCCGCACCACGAAATGAGCTACCATGGAGTTGAAACCCAAACGTTTGTTGGTATTTCCGTTGGGGTATCGAATCATTCCAGGGTTTCTGAACGGTGGTGCCAACGGATTTCGTCCATCCAGAGTAGGGAATCCCTTAGCTGGCGGCCCTTTGGCTTATTTAGAGCTGGACTATTGTGGGACAACTTCTGTATTTCCTGGAATGTGTCCAGTAGTGAAGTCGATTCCTTTGAAAACCAACAGGAAAACGAAAGCACAGTCTTAAGCAAATGGAAGACGGGAACAATAGTTTTGACCCCTTGAAATATACTGCAATGGTGTTGAGTTCCCTTGGGAAACCCTTCAAGTCTACCTGGTTCCACCACCAAACCCAAATTGAAAAGAGCAAAAGTTGGATTTGGACTTGGGATTTCCCTGCTTTGGATGGTGTTAAAAGGAGAACCCCCCCCATTCTCCACATGGAGAAAAAGGCATTTCGGAAACACTCACTTCCTGGTTGGAAACAACCAACAGTTGGGGTTGGGTTGCAATCCCCCCATGTTCCCAACTGAAAATTATTTGGGGGAAGTGGGGTATAGCAAACCATCGGTTTTCAAGCCACCATATTCCGCTGGGCCGGCCTCTGCTGCCACCTCGTAATGACTTTGAAAGAGAAGATAGTAAACGAAAGAAGGCATAGGTGTCCTTTGAGGAAAATAGATGAACACTCCTGGTTGAAAGAACCAGGTCAACCAGGAATCGCCATCTATGTTCTACCACCAAAAAGGACATGAAAAAGAAGGCTAGGTCCAAGAACGGATACACTTGCTGATTCACATGAAATCCCATCAACCTGAAGCATCTCATTCGATGGGTGATAAAGAGGGCCCCAACAAGGCCCCTGCTGAACATGGGCTGTCCGCTTTCTGACCCCCTGCTAAAAGTGTGTTTAGCTTGTAGTGGGCGAAATTCGGAACCCCAACCACTCAACCCAAAGAAAAAACAAACTCAGGTGATATCCCCAACAGCGTGGAACCCTGGTGGAACCCTGCTGGAACCCTCGTGGAACCTTACCTCGCCGCCCCGGACCACCCAAAGGAGCCTGTCTGGGCTCACCGACCCCAAAGCTTTCAGCTGTTGGGGAAAAATGAAAAAACAAACTGTTTGGAGCCCCTAAAATGGTCTTGGCCCAAAAAGTGGCTATAGCCCGAAAGGGACGCGACTTAGGGAGTGAGCAACAGGAGACTTCCCCACGAACGCGCTGGCTGAGACCGCCTCTTCGTAGTCCCTGATTCGGAGCTCTAAGCCATCAAGAAAGATGAAGACCTGACGCGGACTGCTGCCTTGTTCGAGGCACATGGGTATGGGTCAAAACTAGTCACCACCAGGGGACCGCAGGTTTTAGTCCTTGGTTCCATTTACCAGGGCGAGCCATTTTGGGTACCTATACATGGCCATGGGTCAAAAGCCCGTACTGCCAGTGAACATCCCAATCCCCACTAAAATAAGTTCGAACATGGGTGGTGCACCGAAACCCCAAAATGGGATCAATTCCAAGACGGCTTTGACAACCACAGCCACATGAGGAACCGACAGGCCCAAGCAACAGGAAACCCCCAGGCACCCTGCTGGTAGTCCTAGAAACCCAAAAAGCCGCGTGAAAAAAACTCGGCCCCAAGCTTCGAGAGCGCTGCAGAGGACCTTCTGCGAAGGGAAGCCGAAGGGAGGTGTCCAAAACTTACGACATCCTCTGTAAGAGACTTGGTCAACGAGGACTAAACTAGAAGCGCCATGCTCGAGCTGGCCTCGCAAGAACATCTATGGCTCCTCATTGACTATCCAGGGGTTTCATGGGAAAACAACCACTATATCGCCACTATATGAGAGTGTTGTTGGGAGTTGGTACCCCTTGTTTGTGGCTTTAAAGGGAAACCACAAAGCAAACCCACCCTCTTGCGGGCTCCCCCAAAAAAAACAGACCCATATTTGCCGAGTCTATCCCCTACTTTCTGGGTAGTTCGGTGGGGTGTCCATCTCAGAAGTCCGGCTCCCTGTTTGAGGCCTCCCCTTTCAGGATGCATATCAACTCCAAAATCAAGATCCCCCCATTTTGCGACACACCCATGGGCTACGTTTGCTCACCCAGTGAACATCCCAACAGGAACTGTCTGCCCCGCCCGGCGCAGCGGCGCCGCGATTTTTCCTCGGCTCATTCGACCAGCTTCCGCAGCACTTGCTCCAATGCATCGTCTGCACCTCAGCATTCATCGATGGGAGTGTTCGGCTGGGTGGAGTGAGGGTGTGCGTATTGTTCTTGCCGGTGCTCTGTAGGGAATGGAATGAACCCAGGGGTCGATGGTTTATCAGGGTCATTCCGTCATTCCCTGCTACAATTATTTTAGGGGGACTTATCAGTGGATTCTATCCGAACGGTTACCAACGACTTACTAACTTGTCCGAACACCCAAGTATAAAACCCTAGGGAGGGGGGGTGACTGCTAAAACCCTCTTAGGGGGCTTATAAGTGGATGATAACCGAACGGTTTCCAACTTGTCCGAACAAGTATAAACACTAGGGGTCCAACGACTTACTAACTTGTCCGAACACCCAAGTATAAAACCCTAGGGGGGGTAAACCACAACAAGATTGACAGTCTTCGCCTTTCTGTTGCGATCCCATCAAAGTGTGACGCTTCCCTTCAGCGGTTCGCCATGAGAGATCCCGTGTGCTATGGTCAAAGTCGAAAACCATTGCCCCAAACAAGTCATGACCCTGTAGATGGACAAAATATGTCCTTCTCCCCTTGCTTTTCCGAGTCTTAGACGGTTGACGGTTAAGAAAGATGAGGGAAGAGACAGACATCTTCATCCTTGCATTGCTTGGCTTCTCACGTCGCTCGCAAACCCATCTACAATCAACATCAGATAGGAAAGGCATTAGAATAACGGATTTTTAACAGAATGAAAACCGTGTAAACGAGATTGCTGTAATCTCAGGGAATCCTTACAATCTAAATCTTATATTTTCGTTATGAGAATTATCGGCCTAGGAGAATGCCACTCTTTGCTCTTTGTAACCACATCCTGTCCATGAAGATCGATTGGAGAGTGGGAAGGATGGGACAGGATATGAAGATGAAAGATTTCCCGAGCGAAGAGAGGGCAGGGCCCAGCGGATAACGGTGAGACTCGGCGAGACGAGAGCTGGTCCAGAGGAAAGCGAAGGCATGAGCGAGTCCCTCGCCTGACTTGTTCCTTACATGCCATATCTTGTCTCTTACTGGCGTGATACGCACGGAACAAGTGATGGTGTGTGAGGAGATGGAGGGAATGGACAGGAATTGGAAATCCCATTGCCTGTAAGCCATCTCCTCTCTCCCGGATCCGTCTCTTGACCTTGGATCCGGACGCTTCCAAGCGAGTAAACGAGCGAAGGAGGGGAAAGGTGGGTGATGGAGAGAGCGATGACATGAGCTTCTTTCACCCACCTGTCCTCTCTTCCTCCTTTCCTGCCTCTTTATCCCGCACCCAACTCTTGGATAAACCACCGACCAACTGGCGCCTGGCGTGCAGTGCGTCCATCGACAGCGATGACAAGTACGAGGCACCTGGAGGATCTCCACTGTTGAGACACAACCCACCATGGGCTCCCTACACCTCCCCTGTCACCCCAAAAGGAGTGGCTAATGCAATGTTTAGGGGACCCCCCAAAAATGATGGTTGCAAACTCAAAACAAGACAGACCTACACAGGGCGACCTTTGGGAAAAATAGATGGCCCTGGCAAATGGAAAACAATCAATTGGAACCCATCTGGCCATGGGTCAAAATCCCGATTGACCCACAGTGAACATCCGATTCAATCCCCACTAAAATAGGTTCCAACATGGGTGGTGCACCGAAACCCCCAAATGGTACTGTGCATGGACGAAATCCATTTCGCACCACTTTGAAGCCCACGGGAAGTCATTGTTTGTTGTAAATTCATTTTTCCGGGGTTTCTTAGATGGTGCGAAATGGATTTCGCAACCATCCACAGTACCATTGGTTTCTACCCACAGACATCTACTTTTATCTCTTCCTGTGACCCCGGGCGCAGATCTGCGGGCTCGTCGGGGGAGAGCAGCGGAAGAGCGATCCGCAGAGCTCTCCTGCGACAATCCGAAGCCCCGCCGCAACGCGCGGAATGCACCGAATGTAGCCCTAGGGTCAATCGCCCGGAGGTGGGTCGCTTGTGTTTGAGCTGGTACCCGGTGTTCTGGCGTTTAAAGGGAAACCAAACGGAAACCGCCCATGTTGGGGGGGTCTTTCAGAAAAGCCAGGCAAACCAAACCCGCCTCCCACTTTGGGAAAGTCACGACTCGACCCGAAACAACTCGAATCTTCGCCCAAAAAAGACTCACGCCAAGATTTCCCCGTCCGCATGGAAGCACTTGGCTTTGACTCGCAGGGTGATGATGCGCTTTCGTTTCCCCTCAGCCATCAACACAGCCTCACAACATGTGGATGATCAAAGTTAAGACACCGGGGACCACAAGTTCTCGTCCTCGCTTCCATCTTCCAGGGCAACCCATTTAGGGATTCCTATTGAGCCGAATCCAACCGGTCGCTTCTCCTGAAGGCTTCCCCTTCAGGTCTCAAGACAACTCACGGAGTCTCTAAAAAAACAAAAAAACTTGCTGGTGCTCAGCAGGGAATGGGGAATGAACCCTGGGGTCCCCTTGAACGAAACCACTGCTGAGCACCAGCAAGAAAAACCTCTGCACGTCAAAACTTCGGGGGTAGATTCTGCGACTTAGGTGAACCCCCACTATTAAACAAAAAAAAACAACATGCCTCGCCGCCCCACCCGCCCCAACCGGCCCCCCCCCCGGCGCCCCGCACCTCCTGAGCTCCTTGGATTCGGCGTCCTCCGACCCCTTTGCCCAGCGCAGGGCGCGCGCCTGCGCTTCACCCCGAGAGAACGGAAACAAAAAAAACAACAAAAAACGGACAGCCCCTTTTAGATGGTGGTGTGCAGGAAACCAACAGGAAACCAGCAAAAACCAGAAAAATGGTGGTTTGCAGGAAACCATCAATCTTGTTTTAGATGTTGGTTTGCAGGAAACCAGCCAGTTTGGCATCAAAACAAGACCGATTGTCAAATGTTCATCACAGAGATGCCAAGGATTCCAATCCTTGCACCTGGACTAGAGTCCTCGAGCGCGCACGCCGTCTCCTGATTTTTTTGGTGGGGTACCCAGCTTTTCTGCACACACATGTCTGTTCCTGAGAAGTGCAACAATCAATCCGAAGGCTGCACCCTGATATGCTGAGTTCACATTTCTTTAAACTCATTGAGCCATTCCTATGGACAAACCAACCGTAGGTGTCTTGGCAAAATAGATCTATTCCACCGGCAAAGGACCAAACGGATTTACCAGGGAACCCCGCTATTTTCAACTGAACTGGCTGTCCAGAGGACAGCAACTGTACCCTCCCTCCAATCATGGAAGCCAAAAGGGCGTAAGACCACTTTCCGAAGACTTTGAAGCCATCGGAGGGAACGTGTGTACATGTTCCCTTGGCTTCGTTCCTTGTGTTTTTCGAAGGGTCTTGCAAAGGGCCATGGGTGCTGCATAGACGCAAATCGCGTGCCAATGGTAGCAATCCATGGGAATCCAATCTGTCGGGAGAGACAAGGAGGGGGTTCTTTTCACCTTTGGAAGACATCCAGCATCTGTTCCCATGTTGAGTCGGCTAGAGGCAAAGCATCTGACCTTGGGCCTCTGTTGCAAATCAGCGCTCAACTTCAAGGCGTCCCAGGAAACACCAAACCAATCCCCAGAAAGGTCCGTTAAACGATACGTCCGCATACAAGAGAATCCTGTCCAAAAATGACGTTTATGCCGCCCCAGCTGGTTTCTTTTCCCTCGATTTTGCTTAAGTCCCACAATATCTCCAGGAGTGAAATCGATTCCCTCTAAAACCAACAGGAGAGAATAACCAAAAACTTGTGGATCAGGAGTGAATAAATTAAACCCTTAGTAGGAGACTAGGTCCTCCAGTAGAGAGGTTAGGATAAGGGTACCCTTTGTCTGTAGTCTATTTTAGTAGGGGAACCCGAACCCCCAAAAAAGGGTAAAAGGGCACTACTGGGGGACCTAGGGAGAGAAAAACACACAACCCCAAGCAAACGGCTGTTTGAGGGAACCTAAGTTCGATCCACCTCAACTGGTGCCTGCAGATACAGCACCTCCGCCGCTTCCTGCGAGAGCGTGTCCTGGCTCTCGAGCCGCGGACGCAAAAAGCTCTGGTCTCCCTGTGGTTTCCCTGTGGGGTTCCTTG